CCTGGGGCTGGTATAAAGACTTAGAGTCATGAGCAGTTTATCCTTGAACACCTGGGTTTAGACTGCTTGGATCCATTTCTATGCAGGCTTTTTTTTTTTTAACTAAATAGATTAAAGTATAGTAAGTATATTTTCTCCTCCTTAAGATTTTCTTAATAATATTTTCACTTCTCTAGCTTACTTTACTGTAAGAATATGTTATATATATACATATATACATATAATACATATAACAGAAAATATATGTTGATCAACTCTTTATATTATCAGTAAAGCTTCTGGTCAATAGCAGGCTATTAGTAGTTAAGTTGTTGAGGAGTCAAAAATTATGTGCAAAAAAAGTCACATGCAGATTTTCAGCTTGTGGGGATTCAGTACCCCAATCCCTGTTTGGTTCAAGAATCATAGACAGACAGACTGGCAGGCAGACGAAAGAGAAAGAAAAGAAAGAAAAGAAAGAAAAGAAAGAAAAGAAAGAAAGAAAGAAAGAAAGAAAGAAAGAAAGAAAGAAAGAAAGAAAGAAAGAAAGAAAGAAAGAAAGAAAGAAAGAAAGAAAAAGGAAGGAAGGAAGGAAGGAAGGAAGGAAGGAAGGAAGGAAGGAAGGAAGGAAGGAAGGAAGGAAGGAAGAGAAAGCAAGCAAGCAAGCAAGCAAGCAAGCAGCCATGGGAGCAGATAAGGCTAGCCCCAACTATGGCAAATAAGAAAAGAAAAGGTCCAGGAAAAGAAGTCTGAGGAGCCCCAATATTCAAGGGATTTAACAGATTCATCCTTTGGCTATTTTATTTGCAATGTGGGGATATTAACACATGTACTTTGGGATGAAACTAAGAGAATTATTTCACTATTGTACTTTAAATGGCTATCAAATGGGACAATTATTACCTACAACAGATTTAGCAGGAGAACAATAATCGTGTTTAATGTTTGCACACCATATAAAATATTAAAATTCTTGCCTGATGCACTCACTCTGTTGCAAAGTAACTCATTTTCAACATACTTCTAGCCCATAAAACCCTCCCTTTCTTCACCTAATTTGTAAGTGCAAATAATCTTCTGGGGCAGATGATGGACATGGATATTCGGAGGCGAGGGATGAATCAGAATGGCTTAAAGATCCTCTGCTACACACTGAGAGGGGATGCCCATAACATGATAATGAGGAATTGGGAAAGGTACAATAAGGACATCTAAAGTACATTCATTCTATTACAATTCTGTTCTTGTAAATACTAAACTCACAAGCACTCTGCTACACTTTGGCTTTACAAAAAGTAATCATCCAGTCTATCCTAAAAGGCAGGAAAGAAGTATGGTATTAAATGCAACTTGTCTTCTTTTTGTGTATTCAGTCCCCTATATAAATAGAACACTGTAGTAACAGATACAACCAAAGAAAGCCAGTTCAAGATTACTTTTACTCCATGCTATTTCATATGTGGTTTTGTATTAAGTTAAATAGGAATATATGAATTTTTTGGATTTTGGATGAACTATGAAAAATATTTATTCATTCACTTGTTCATTTTTTCAATTGTTTAATGTTTACTGGCTGCCTACTATATGCAAAATACTGAGCAAGGCCCTGGGAAATCAGTGGCGAACAAGATAAACAAAAATTTAAAAATCTTTGTGTTCATACCAGGAATACAAATATCATCTTGGGGCGCCTGGGTGGCTCAGCTGGTTAAGCATCTGACTTTGGCTCAGGTAATGATCTCATGGTTCATGGGTTCGAGCCCTGCGTCAGGCTCTGTGCTGACTGCCAGCTCAGAGCCTGGAGACTGTTTCAGATTTTGTATCTCCCTCTCTCTCTGACCTTTCTCTGCTCATGCTGTCTCTCTCTCTCTCTCTCTCTCTCTCTTTCTCTCTCTCTCAAAAAAATAAATAAAACATTAAAAAAAACAAATATCATCTTAATTAATAAATAAATATTTAACTACAATGATAGGTGCTACCAAGAAGAGAGCAGGATGCAGTCAGACATTTTTCACAAGAATCTGACATAGTCTGGAGAATCACTTAAGGGTTTCTTAAGGAAGTGTCTTTTAGGCTGAGCTCTGCAAGACAATTAAGTTTTAACTGAAAGTGAAAAGTTAGGCAAGAACTCATCAGAGGGAACAGCTGTGTAAAGACACTGAGGTGGGAGTAAGCATAGTACATGCAAGAAAATGAAAAATCCCAAGATTGCTGAAGCTCAGTGAAATAGGATAGTAGTTAAGAATGTGCCTGATGAGGTAGGAAAGGGTCAGATCTTGCAGGGTTCTGCAAGTCAGATTAAGGATTTGGTGCTATGGTGCACTGGTTAATCCTCATCATATCTGTCCAGCTCTGTTCTCCCTCAGGCTGACTCCCTGGATTAAATTATGCTGGCTCTTTGCACTCTAGTTTCTAGTTAAATCTGGCCCAAAAAAGGCACTGACAAAAAGCTGAGACTGGAGAAATGAAGATCAAGGTAATTCCTTCTTGTTTCACTGCAGTATCATTGGTAGTGGCTGGTCTCTCCACAATTATAGTCTTTGCTGTATGGACCCTCTCAGTGAGCTCTGGTAATACAACTGATTTCAGTTGCTCTTTCAACCTAAGACAGAAATCAACTTCCACTTTTGTCTACTTTTATGTTCCTCAGGATTTCCTACTATTTAACCATAAGCATACTGCAAAGTGGGTCTTTCATTTTAATCTCTGCATTTAAACCATTTGAACTGAAGACTGTTTCTTGTCTGAAATATGACTGGTACTCAACAGAACAGCCAAAGTCTATTTGCATTTTTCAGTTGATCACTGTAGCTCCTTTGAGGAAAATCATTGGATTGGGATGAGCAAGAGTGTCATGTGGATCTATCAGAAGGTTACCGTAGAGGTTCGAGGATGCAATTCTGGACAGGTTTAACTAGAGTACTGATGAGAGAGATGGAGAGACATGACAGATCTGAGAGCTATTTGAAAGGGAAAAACCAAGATTTGGCCATTGATGGCATTTAGGATCAAGAAACAGGAAGGATTTAATGATTACTTGGTAAACAAAAGAAAACGCTGATTGAAAGAAATCAAGCAATGCAGTACTAGCAAGCACATATGCCAAAAAATTGCTTATGATACTGATAAAGATAACTAGAAACATCTTGAAACCCACATCTACCCATATCTGTAAACTGTCAAAATCTTGAATCCTACAAAAATTTTCAAAACTAGACAAAAGAAAATAGCCAAAAATAGTATTTTAGCATCAATCAACATTTACAGAGTATCTATGTGCAAAAAAGGTGCTAAGAAAAGTCAGCGTAGAATAGTCTGGAATTTGGGCTCTGAAATTAGACTACTTAGGTTTACTTCATAACCATGGATTTACAGGACAGAAATAGGGAAAGAAGGAAAGGAGAAAAGGCAAGTAATAAGGAGAAAGAGAGTGGTCAATCAACATAAAATTTTCCTCTTCCTTTCCTACTAGCCTAATATATCATTGGGATATATTTATTGTAAAGTTGTAGTCCAGATAGTAAACGATTTGCAAGTATTTTTTAGATAATAGGATAAGAATAAGAAACAAGTTTTGGGATTTGAAACCTATGAAGTGTTCTGAAATGATTTTCTAATTTCTAAAATTAATTAACTTGCTTAAGTTAATTAATTTTAATTAAGCAAGTTAACTCATTTTGTATATTAAGTACTATCAAGGAGCTTTACAAGTATGAATATTATTTAATATTACTATCGATGCTTCCAGTAAGTCTATTTCCGGAATTCTACAGATTCCAAAGTATCTGAAATGTTTTTGGTTTAGTCCTAATGAAAGGGAGGTTTCTGCTATACTTTAATGTGCACAAGACACTTAAAGACTTCCGTTATTCTGGTGTGTCTTTTAAACCTTTTAGAATTAGAAAGGGTGTTAGAAATTATTTCAAATTTGCAATTCGCTCCATATTTTACAGCTATGGAAACTGAGTCACAGAATACTAAGTAACTTACTCAAAGCTAAACAACTGGAAAGTGTGTGAGGTTGCTCTTGAATTGAATACCCTACCATCCCTTTAAACTTTCAGTAATACATTTAATATCTGTTAAGCAGTGTTGTGTTATCTTTCCTCAACTTTCCGGCATCATGTTTGGAAATTTTAATAATAACCAAACATAAGTCAAATTATATTTTGTTAAATAATTTTTGCTTCCATCAACATTCTTTTTTGAGATTACCTAGATGGCTATATTTGAACATTTAATATAAAACAGCTACAGAAAATATTATAAGCCACCAGCCTATATTATTTGTTATGTCAACAACAGATAATATTTTACTTGGAAAAGTAAATACAGCTAAAGCTGAAATTAAGCAAGCTTCTAGAAAAACCAATGCATTTATTTTATACCAAAGTGACTACAGATAAATTCATAATCTTTTATAAACTTCAGTTACAACTGTCCTTTTAATTTTATTAAAATTATTCATCTTTTGTGGTTTATCTATACCATGGAATACTACATGGCAATGAGAAGCAATGAAATCTGGCCATGTGTAGCAACATGGATGGACCTTGAGGGTGTTATGCTGAGCGAAATAAGTCAGGCAGAGAAGGACAAATATCATATGTTTGCACGTATAGGAGGATTAGGAGGAGCTTGACGGAGGAACAAGGGGGAGAAGAAGGGCAGAAATGGTGGGGGAAAGGGAGAGAGGCAAACCATGAGAGACTCTTGAATGCTGACAAAAAAGGAGGACTGATGGATGTGGGGGGGAGGGGGGGATGGGCATGAAGGAGGACACTTGTGGGGATGAGCACTGAGTGTTATGTGGAAACTAATTTGACAATAAACTATTTGTAAAAAAAAAAAAAGAAAAGATGACATGCAAAAAAAAATAAATAAAAAATAAAAAAAATAAAATTATTCATCTTTGCTTTAAGGATAGAGTTGAAATAAATCATTTTTAACCATATGTTTCTTGTATCTGTGTGGTAGAGACAACTGCATATTAACTAAATTACCTTTCTTTTTCCTTGTAGGCAAAGAACTCCCAAGGAAATTTTTCCCAGCCTCTCTTGCAGCTGGGCTAGGGCACAAGTAACAGTTCCAATTAAAGGATGTGGGAAATTTTCAGTCTTGAATCTCTCATTTTCCTGCTTCCAAATTATATTTAGGCCATGAACAGAGAGTGCTAGAGGCAGAAGGTCCTAGTTTTTGAAGGATAATTTCCTACTACTTCTTTTCTCTTGGCTATTGTAAATAGCTCCGAACATTCTTCTTTATATTCTTTTTCTTCTCTGATCTCTTCCTCCCTTCACTTTTTCTATTGTTTTTGAGCAACTTCATAATCCATCTCCATGGTAATGGGCATTAAGGCTGGCCCAGAGCCAAATGAGAGAAGAAACAGCTTTTATTTTTGGTGTCTCTGCAATTCTATTTTGTTTGTCTCACCTATCTATATTATACCACCTCCCTTCTCTCTCAAATTATCAAAACCACCCACACCTTTTTCCTCACTTCCAGAGGTCCCATTATGGATCTTCCTTCTTTCTCAGGGAGATTTGAAATCATATGGATCAATTATTGTCTGGTGTCCGGTTTAAGGTTTTGATATGTTGTTTTCAGAAAGATAATGAAGTAAATTTATCTCTGCCATCGTTTTAATGTTTGCTTATGTTTTTCCTCTCTCTCAAGGGGTTATCCTCCAACACCAAACTCTCAGATTTGAACCCAAATAATGAATCAATAATACTAGAACTCTAGTGTGGTTGACTGAGATGAGAATTGGGGGGATTTAATCATATTTCCACCCAATTCTTTTGACTAACTGTATGGCCGGTAGGCAGGATTACTTTGCTTTACATTACCGCTTACATTTTACTTCTGATATATTCTATTCTATTCTATTCCAGTCCTTCTCAACCTTTAGTATGCATCAAAATTTCATAAAGAACTTGTCAAAACCTGGATTACTGGGACAATTACACAGATTCTGATTCATTAGTTCTGGGGTGAATAAAGTCCATTAATATGTACACTAATTCCCCCTGCAGGGAATAAGATTCCAGACACCCAGAAGGTTTCTGAGATTGCAGAAGTACCAAATCCTATATATATTATAGTTTTTCCTATATATGCACACTTATGATAAAGTTTAATTTATAAATTAGGCACAGTAAGAAATTAACAATAAATGATAAATAAGAACAATTGTAACAATAGGACAATAGAACAATAATAACAACATGCTATAATAAAAGTTATGTGAGGGGTGCCTAGGTGGCTCAGTCAGTTAAGTGTCTGACTTTGGCTCAGGTCATGATCTCATGGCTCGTGAGTTCAAACCCCACATGGGGCTCTGTGCTGACAGCTGAGAGTCTGGAGACCGCTTTGGATTCTGTGTCTCTCTTTTTCTGTTTCTCTCTCTCTCTCTCTCAAAAATAAACATTCAAAAAAATTTTTTTAAAAGTTATGTGAATGTGATCTCTCTTTCTCTCAAAATATCTTTCTATATACTATTCCCCTTCTTCTTCTCCTTCTTCTTCTTCTTCTTCTTCTTCTTCTTCTTCTTCTTCTTCTTCTCCTTCTCCTTCTGCTTCTCCACCCCCTCCTCCTCCTCGTTCTTCTTGTGATTATGTAACATGATTAAATGCCTACATGATGAGATGAAGTGAGGTGAATGATACAGGCATTGTGATGTAGTGTTCGGCTACTACTGACAATCTGATCATCCTCCTCCTTCAGAAAGAGGATCATCGCCTCTGGACCATAGTCGACTGCAAGTAATTGAAACTAGACAAAGCAAAACCAAAGACAGAGGGGGATTACTGTATTTGTAAAACAAAGCCCCCAGAAAACATTAATAATGGTGCTGTGAAGAGCACATTTTGAGTACCACTAGTTTACAAAAGCATTTTGAAGCTCACAGAAAAGTTTGGTTTCAGTTGAAATAAAGACATGATAAAAGCTGGTTCCATTTTCAATAATGAACCTTTTTAACAAAAACATTATTTCATCATATAGTCCTACAGCTCCAAGGAAATCAGTGCATATCATATTTAATACTAACATTATAAAGATGAGAACATTGAAACTCATGAAAAATGTTTCACATCTAATAAGAAGAGACATAAATAAAGATGCAGCAGGGATTGTTTTCAAAATGGTAGCAACAGTATTTCCCATCCCTTTATTAAAATGAGACTTTATCACTATACACTTAAGAAGTGATACCTATTTATATCCTCCTTGAATCTGGGCTAACAAAAAGACTTGTTTTGATTGGTAAAGTGAAGGGCAAGTAGGCTGTACAACTTCCTAGACAGTCTTAAGAGATCATCAGTGTTTATTATCATCTTTTGCCCAGGTAAAACCCAACACCAACAGACAGCCATGTGACTGAAGTTATTTTGGGTCTTCCAGCTATTTCAGAGGCCCAACTAACAACAATGAAACAGTAATGTCCATCAACCTACAGAATTATGAGAAATAATCAGTTTTTTTAAGTCATTAAATTTGGAGTTGGTTTGTTTTACAGTGATGGTAATTGCAACTATCAGTCTTCACACTCCTCAATAATCTCTGTAGTTCTTTATGCTGTCCTCCTCAAATTTTGCTTCCCCTACTCCCTCATCTGTTCAGTTCACCCAACACTTCTTAAACATCTACAATATTCTAGATACTATAGATACAGAGATTATAATAAAAACATAAGTCTTACCTCAATGACCTCATGATCAAGAATGAAAGACTGGCTAAAGAAATAATTGTCACATATTTTGATCAAAGTATTAATGTAATTATGTACAGAATTGGTATATAGGAATGTTGTGTGTGCGTGTGTGCATGTGTATGTGTATGTGTGTGTGGGGGTGGGTATTGTGTATGTGTGTGGTGGTTACAGAGGCAAGCATGAGAGGAGCAGAGAAGGCTTTACAAAAGAACTGGCATCTGAACATCATCATAAATTACATATTAGACGTATAAAAATGATGAGGGGATATAAATTTACTATCACATCTTATTTAAATGTATTACTTTTGGATTATTTGCAGCATTAATTCCCCTCAGTATTACAGATAATGTATGAGTCTATGAATGTACATGTGTATGTCTACCTTTGACCATATCACTGAACAAAGTTATTATTTATATAAAAAGAACATTAGAAGAAAAGAACACATATTTTACCCTCACATCCTCAATATTTCTATAGTCAAAAACCTATTCAGAAAGCAGAGCCTGGGGCACTTCAGCTCAAGTCATGATCTCATGGTTCATGGGTTCGAGCGCTGTATCGGGATCTGTGCTGACAGCTAGCTAAGAGCCTGAAGACTTTTTCAGATTCTGTATCTCCCTCTCTCTGACCCTCCCCTGCTCATGCTGTCTCTCTCTCAAAAAATAAATTTAAAAAATTAAAAAAAAAAGAAGAGCCTTATTTGCTAGTAATTTTCACCTAAATCATGGGTCAAATGACAATGGAAACATGGAACATCTACTCATTCCATCATTAGAAGTGGGTAATCAAAATTCCTTTGAATAGTTTAAAATCTAGGAAGGTTCGTCAGTGTTAAGAGCTCCATTACAGAGCACACAAACCTGCTAAACAGAAAGGGACATATTAGTAGCTGCTCTGTGGCTTAAAAACTGGTGGATGATCTGGAGAATTAAGCTCTAGGTACAATGCCTAAGAAAGTTCCTAGCCCCAAGAATTGTCCTACTGCTACTGTGTTTGGGGATGTTGCACCTGCCACTAGAGAAAGTTTCTGAATCAAGAAGCTGGTGACTTGGACCCATGTTGTCACTGACATCATCTGAACATCAGAATTGTTGTCTCTATTCCAAACAACTTCATTCCAAACTCACGTCTCTCATGAGTTTACCAGACTGGAGGAACACAAACCACACCTAGAAACTTAGCAAAAAGGACATATGTAATATGTTTTGTTCTGCAATTACTGCAATACTGGAAGTCACGGGAGTAAGAAGGTGGAGTTCATGTTTAAGAAAATAATCCATAGGATCTATCACAAAGACTTATTATGGTTTTACCAAATAAATAAGTCAAAGTATCAAACTAAAGAAGTTATACTTTCCTCACTCAATCATGAACATTGAGAAGATCACATTGATTTATCTGCTCTGTTAGTGAAGATCATATGTAGGAACCATATCCAAAAATATTAGAACCAAGGGAGACATACATTTAATTCAAAATATACACTTAAAAGGAGTCTGGTGGTTTAGTCAGTTAAGTGCCTGACTTCAGCTCGGGTCATGACCTCGCAGTTAGAGCTTGGGTCCTGCATCGGGCTCTGTACCAATGGCTCATAGCATGGAGCCTGCTTCATATTCTGCTTCATATTCATATTCTCCTCTCTCTCTGCCTCTCCTCCACTCATGCTCTATCTCTCTCTCAAAAATAAATAAACATAAAAAAATTTCAAAAGACACCTTTAATACAAAATTATTTGTTAAAAAACTATGAACATAATTCTTGAAAATACTAGCACAAACAACATATTATCCTTCTTTAAAGCTAATGCAATGCTTCAATAATTTCCTCATCTATGTTTATTTACCAAATTTCTTTTTGTTATAAAATTTGAGTCAATTCCAATATACGTTTTCCAGAGAAATATTAAAATTCTTGTTTCCCGATGTTATTTTGCAGTCTATAATTTTAATCAATATATACATATAACATGTAATACATGTATATATGTTACATATTTTGATAAAATAAGCTTATTTTAAATAGAACATTTCAGAGATATTAATCAGAATATTTTAGTTACCTTACTTCCTGGTTGGAACCAACTGTCATTTTCTCTCATATCGTGCTCATATAACATAACGCAAATTGGATAAATGCAAGATGAAATAATACCCATAAGTACTCCCAAAATAGGAAAGTCAATTTTGGCTGATGTAGAGAAAAATTCTAGAATAGGACATATTGGGGAAGTTCTGTTCTGCATGAGAAATTATTTTAAACATGAACACTTCTCTGAAAATATGAAAAAAGTATTTTCCCAGGGAAAGTATATAATATTTCCTGAATGTTAATCTTAGCAAACATTAAAAACAGTTAATTTTTTACAATCTCGTCTTTTCTAAATAATGTTTTTTTA